CTAGATCTCGCTTGAAAGCCTCCCTGGGCCAGTTAGGGTTCTCCCTCTCCTCGGTACTTCTCCACACCCTGCCTTCCTGCTCGTAGCCACCCCCTGGACCTCTGTGAAGCTCTCCGGGCAGAGCTCTGGTTTTCAGTGTGGGAACACACCGGCTCATAGAGGGAGACCATCTAGCCATGTAAAGGGTGTGGGGAGATGCCCCCCCCCTGCTTAGATGGATATAGGATTCTGGGGCCTTCCTGGAGCAGACAGGGCAGGGGTTGGAGCCCAGGATTGGGGGGACCAGAATCCAGACCTGGGTAGTGGAGAGGAGTGGGTGGCACCTCTGTGTACCACATGAGTTCCTTCACCAAAGTTGGTGGCCTTTGGGGTGAGGGCCCCATCCCACAATTGAAGGAACAGGACCCCGAGGTGACAGCATGTGAGACTTCTGGCTGCACACAGTAGTTCACTATAGTGGCTTCTGCCAATTCCAGAGTCCCGCATTGGGAGCATGGGGAGGGGGGGAAGGGGGAGAAGATGGGGGTGGTGCGCTTCGGTGCAGGGAAATGCTAGGCAGGGATCCCAGGGCCTCCCTGGACTCCTGGCATGACTCAGGCCATCCAACTTCCCTCCAGAGCCTCAGTTCCTCTGTGTGTGTGTGTGTGTGCACGCACATGCATATACACGCGCCTGTGCACAACAGTTCACGTGGGACTTGAACTCAGAGCCTAGGCACTGTTCTTGAGCTTTCTGGCTCAAGGCTAGTGCTTTACTGCTTGAACCACAGCTCTACTTACAGCTTTTTGGTGGTTCATTGGACAGAAGAGTCCCACAGACTTTTCCTACCCAGGCTGGCTTGGAATCCTGATCCTCAGATCTCAGCCTCCTAGGATTACAGGCATGAGCCACTAGTGCCCAGCCAACGTTCAAGTGATCCAGTGTCTCAGCCTGTAATCAGCGCTCTGGGATGCATCGCTCCCTGCCCAGCCTGGAGAAACTCCTCAAGACCCTGTTGACAACCATCTCCTTGTGCCTTTCTACCCCCCTGCACCCCACAAAGCGTCTTTTGTACAAGGCGGTGTCTCAGGTCAGCTGGGGTGGTGGTGGTGGAGATTGGCCCAACTGGAGCCTGCACTAATAGATAACAGCAGAGGACCCCTCCCCCTCCCCCACAGCTGCAGGCACCAGTCCCTGTGGACAAGCAAGGCTGGGAGTCCTGGTGTACAGTCAGCTGGGCCCCTAGCTGGGAATTTGCTTTATCAGAGGCTGCAGACTACCCTGCCCACGAACGAAATGCATGGGGGACCAAGGCAGTGTGGGCCCAGCCTGCTGCCCAGGCACCCATGCAGGGAAATAGGGAGGATGGGGAGATAAGAGGACCATTTGGAGACTGCATCTGCCCTTGGGGGCTCCCGGGAGCACTGAAGGATGGTCACTCACAATTGCTTGGGGGGAGTCAGGTGCAAAGAAGTCAGTTGCTGGGTGCCAGGGTGGCTCATACCTGTCATCCTAGCTACTAGGAGGCTGAGATCTGAAGATCACAGTTCAGGGCCCTGGAGCCCAGCGGAGAGCTGCACTGGGGACAGCTGGGAGCTGCCTGGCCCTGCAGCTCAAGGCTGTTCTGCTCCTCAGATTCTGCCCTGGCAACAGGGACCCTTTCTCAGCTTAACCCGTCCTGCAATCACTACAACAGCACCTTAAATGTCCGCAGACTCAGACCCCTCCTGCCTCTCAGCTCTTAGCCCACTCCCAGGCCCACGAGGTGTCTTCTGGTGGCACAGAAAGTCAAGAGCTGCAGCCCAGGATCCATGACCTGTGACTGATGTACGAAAGCATTCACTGTTCTATTTCGTTTGAAAGGTATGTTTGTGTCCGTACTGTGCTCGATCTCAGGGCCTGGGTCTTCTCCCTTAGTTTTCTAAAAGCTCAAGGCTGGCACCCTGTTCCATAAGCTGTACCTCTACTTCTGGCTTTTTGGTGTTTAATTGGAAATAAGAGTTCTCTCCAGGTTGGCTTTGAACTGTCATCCTCAGATCTCAGCCTCTTGAGTACCTAGAAAGATTACAGGTACAAACCAATGGCACCTGGCTTTTTCAAAAGGTTTTAAAGATCAGTGAAGCCAGGCACTGGTAGCTCACACCTGTAATCCTAGCTACTCAGGAGGCTGAGATCTGAGGATCCCAGTTCAAAGCCAGTCTGAGCAGGAAAGTCTGTGAAACTCTCATCTCCAATTAACCACTAGAAAACCATAAGTGGTGCTGTGGCTCAAGTGGTAGAGCGCTAGCCTTGAGCTGAAGAGCTGAGGGACAGCGCCCAGGCCCAGAGTTCAAGCCCCACGACTGACAAAAAAAAAAATCAGTGAGAAGGGGCTCAAGATGGTACAATGTCCCTCCTTTTGGGGGGGGGTGTCTCAGGTAGCTTACCTGCAGCCCATGCAGACAGGCCTTGGCCCCACGGCCCCACATGTGTCTTCAGGTTGTGCCACAGGAGTGGGCAGCATCCTGGGCCTGGTTTGGGCTCCACTGGTAACATCTGGCGGTCCATAGCCAACACAGCCCCTGGTTCCAAGCTGCCCTTGTGGGAAACTGACCTGGTTCAAACATGTTCTCTAATGCACAGATGGCACCCAAGTCCCTTGGCTTAGGGTCCATCCTGGCCCCAGTGGCAACCCTACCCCACCTTACGGCTGGGCATAGCCGCCGCCCCCCTCCCACCCCCACCCGCCCCGCAGGCCCTTGATGCCAATGTGTCTCCATGTGGACCAATCCCGCTGCTGGCCAGGCTCTTCCTTCCCAGCTTCAGCTGGCTCTCTCAGCTTTGTCATCACCTCTGAGGAGGGTTCCAGGCTCCCAAGTGAGCTGCTCAGCTTCTACCTGCCCACAGGTCAACTGCTATGTGGAGTCCCAGCTACCTCGTATCTAAGATGTTGGGTCTGCATCTGGAAGCCATGTCTTTTCCACTCTTGTCTGCCCCAGTGGAAGCTAGGCCTGGGCTTGCTAAGCCAGGTCTTGGTCCCTGGCCTGCCCGATGTGGCGGTGACCCCATGAAGAAGAGTCAGCCTGGTGACCAGGCAATGCCAGAGGACCCTGTCCACACAGAAGATAGGAGGCGCTCTCAAGGTCCCCATCCGTTCTGGAGGACATGGCCAGTGGAAGTCACTCAAAACACTCGAGAGGCCTGCTCATGTGAAGAGGTAGAGGTTTATTGGAATATAAACATTCGAGAACATGTAAGATAGAAAATCACAACATATACAGACACTTGCTGCAAGGGGATGTCTGAGGTATTTATTTATTCTCGGCCTAGGCTACCATGTGCTATCACATTTTTCCTGGTTAGAATACGAACAAGATGGAAAGGGAGAAAGGACCCCGCTGCCCTGCATGGCTACCCACCTCCTGGCCTCCAGGAGAGAACCTTTGGGAAAGCCAGGGTTGGATGAACTCCTGCTGGCCTGGAGAGCAGCAAAGGGCACCGAGAGGGAGAGGTGGGCAAGCGGCCCAGGGAAAGGAGGCGGGTTAGATGAGCACTCAGTATACCATCCCGTGTCCTCCGGGTGGGAAGAGACCATCCTTCCTGACATCTCCTGAGAAAGACACTGGGGGAATGGCTGAGACTCGGGCAGGCCTGGGGCTGTGTCCTGTGCTCCTTGCAACTTCCCTGCCCTTGCCTGCCCATGCCTGGTACGTAAGGCTTCCAGGCCCCAAAAGGTAGATGGGCTGTGTGTGTGTGTGTGTGCGTGCGTGTGTGTGTGTGCGTGTGTGTACTTTCATGCCCTGGCAGAGATGGAGGCAGCAGCCAGCAGCTGCCCTGGCAGAGATGGAGCAAGGAGGAAGGAGGAGGCAGCTGGCAGATATGCTGCTCCCAGAGCTGAGGTATGTCTGTGCACAAGTTTTCCCTTTCCCTTTCTTGTCCCACCTGGAACTAAATGGGGCAGGCCAGGGTTTCAGCCACTGCAACCAGGAGTCACAGTGCAGGGTGGTCTACAGAATGGCGCAGGCTGAGTCTGGTTAAGCATCACCATTTCTTGGCCATACAGGCGAGTTGGGCCAACATTTCATCCTGGGCAGTGTGGTCTCTGGCAGGTGCAGGCCCTCCAGTGTCCTGAGGTGGGAGTGCCGGGGAGGGGAGCTACCTGCCCACCCTAGCAGTGGGGTTAGGGGTGGCAGGAGCCCACCAGCAAGCTGGGGCCTCTCCATATTCCCTCCCACCACATCGATCCCTGAGTGGCCCGGCCCGCTGGCCGGGGCGTGGCAGGCTGGCTGTCAACCCCACCCAGGGGGGCGAGCTGCTCTTAATTCTTTGGTGCTACAACAGCAATAATAACAATTTAAAAAATAAAAAATAAAACAAAAGTCAGCAAAAACACTTATAAAAAAGGTTTTCAGAGATGCAAATACTTCCTGAAGGATCATGCATCAGCAATTACAAATCTGAGGTATTTCAGTGAGCCTGACTTCGGCGGGGCTGGGGGCGGGAAAGCCCCGGGAGGTGGGGCCAGGAAGAAGCAGCTTTCTGGGGAGAGCTGGCTAACAAGGGTGAAGGGGGGACCTGAGGTGTGGGAGAGTCAGAACAGGACCCTGAACTGGAACCTGTCCGCGAGTGCTGAGTCAAGACTTGGCTAGAAGGGACCCACACCCCAGAAATCAAACAGTAGGTGAGAAGGGCTGGGAGGGCACCATCCCACCTCAGCAGACAAGCCATGAAGGCAGGCGCCTGGCTCTTGGCAGCCCCACATGGTATTTTGAGTTGTGGGACTGGGCAGAGGCAGAGACCAATGGGCGTGGGGTCAGGACAGGAGGTGGAAGAGGGAAATAAATTAAGGAGGAAGGGAAATGAGAGGGCGTCCAGCCCTGCGTCAGCTTACAGATTGTCAATACACTGCCCTGGGGTGGGAGGTGGCCAGGGAACCCTCGAGGAAGCTGGACACCCAGACCCCGCCCAGTCCCCAGAGTGATCCCTGATTGGACAACGCTGCTCTGCCCCGCCCCTTCAGCCCCTCCCTGCCCCCAGAGTACAGCAGGACCTGAATGGAGCCTGGGGAAATCCAGACTCTCACGTGGCTCCATGAGATGAGGTAAATTCTGTGCATCAGCTTCCTCCACTCTAGGCAGAAGAGGAGTTGGTGCTGGGTGCTGCCCGTCAGAGGGACCAGCTGGTGGAGGGCTCTGCGCTGGGGGTGCCCCTGGATGAGGTAGGACTTGGAGAGCAGTGGGAGCTGCTGCTGCTGCTGGCGCCGCTGCCCAGGCTCTGGGGAGCAGAGCCTGCGATGAGGTGCACCACAGGTTTCTGGGCAAACAGCACACCTGAGGGAACAGGTGCAGTTCGTTTCAACAAGGCCCAGGTGTAAGCCTGGTTGCCTGACACTGACTCCAGTGCCAGGCGGGACCCTGAGCATCTTGTAGAATACTTGCGTATGGACGGTAGGGGCTGTGAAGCCCTGGAAGTTGGAAGCCTAGGAGGAACACCATGAGCTCACAGGTCTCAGGATGCTCTGGGGGGAGAGGGGAGAGAGAGAACAGGGGCCTGCGGGGAGCTACAGCAAGGATGGGTAGGAGAGGAGGAGCTCTGGGTGGGTGTGATGGGCAAGCTCTCCACAATGTCCTCCAGCCTCCTGGGCTGGACAGGATTAAGGCAGGGGAGGCAGGTAACTGGCTCTCTCTGGCATACTCTTTTCTTTCTGTGCTAGTCCTGGGACTTGAACCTTAGCTTTTTTGCCCAAAGCTGGTACTCTACCATGTGAGCCACAGCTCCATTTTTAGCTCCCCCCACCCCACCTTGCTTAACTGGAGATAGAGTTTTATGGACTTGCCTCCCTGGCCTGGCTTTTTACCATGTCCTCAGATCTGTCTCCTGTAGCTAGGATTACAGGGTTGTGGGGAGCCTTAAACTCCTCACCTTCTCCATCACCCCCCTTCTCCTGGGAAGAAGACAAGAAGATACAGAGACCAAGCCCTTTGACAGACTCAGGCCCACCTCCAAGTTTCTTAAGCCACAACAGTCCCATAAGGCCCCAGGCCCAAGGATTGTGGCCTGCAAATGCAGCATGGGCAAGCCAATCTGGCATGGCTGCTTCCCCTCCTGTCCTCCCAGGCGCTCAGGGCCCCGCCTACCTGCATAGGTGGTGCCATCGATGTCCACGGACATGTTAATGCTCCCAATGCTGCTTGTGGTCAGGTTGAGTGCTGCAGCTGAGGTCTCAGCTCTGTCTTCTGCAGGGGACAGACAGAAAGCAGGCTGCTCAGGCCCCGTGCTGTTCTTCCGGCTGCTGCCGTGGCCACCTCGGATGGAGGCCTCACGTAGAAAGCATCTGCTCACCAGCTCCTGGGCACATGGCCTGCCAGGAGGGCCCGTTTTGCCAACTTCCTGTTGCTGGCTTTCTCTAGAGGGCCAACTCTCTCCCCCAACTGCTCTCAGCATAGGGGCAGCAGCTGCGGGAGCAGGCTGGCCAGGCTGGGCACCTGTCCTTCTGAGAGCCTACTGACCAGTAGGCCCAAGAAATTCAGCTGTGGCTGAGGGCCTCCTCCTTCATGAAGAGGGGGTTATGTCTGGAGCACTCAGCTCCTCAGGGCCATCTGGGCAAATGGCACAGAGAATCTGGCCTGAATCACCGCAGATTCCATCCTGGGTGGGTGACACACCAGGGCACCTGGCCTTGAGCGGGGCAAGCTCCTGCTCTCCCTGTATCTCCTTCAGGAAACAGTGGGTAGGATCCCCAGTACCAAGAAAGAGGAAGAAGAAGAAGAAAAAAGAATGGCACTGTATAAGGAGAGGAGAGGAGGAAGAGGAGGGAAATGGAATGTGTGGTATGGAAAATGAGGGAAAAGGAAAATCTGGCAATTACACTGGCAACCTTGTATTTCCTACTTTATTGTGTGTGTGTGTGTGTGTTGGTACTGGGGCTTGAACTCAGGGCCTGGGCACTATCATTTATCTTTCTCACTCAAGGATAGTGCCCTACCACTTGAGCTGCCGCTCCATTTCTGGCTTTTTGCTGGCCAACTGGAGATAAGTCTTACAGACTTTTGCCCAGGCTGGCACTGGACTTCAATCCTCAAGATCTCAGCCTCCTGAGTAGTCAGGATGACAGGCGTGAGCACCCAGCATCTAGCCTATTTCCTACTTCTTACTGCTGAGAGCAGCTGGCAGCCCTGCCACTTCCCTGCCCTGGCCGAGCCCCCAGCATGACAAGGCTGTCACATCTTCCTCCCAAACACGGAGCTCCGGTAAGGTGTAGCAAGCCCTGCCCTGTAATTTGGACAGATCAAAGGCGGGTGGAGGGAGGGTCACTGAAGCTGCCCTGGGCCCCTTCTCCAACAGCTGCTTTTCCTTTCAGCCAGGGAACAAAGCTCTGCCTGAGGCAACTCCTGGCCCCTCAGAAGTCCTCCAGGTGGTATGCTGCCATGGCCACCCCTTTGAGGCCAGGAGAGGAGCGTGGAGCCCCGAGCTGGTGCTCACCCCTGCCGTTGATCCTGACTTTCATGGGGAGCTGCCTGGCCATGCTTAGGAAGTTGCGCTGGAAGGCCTGCTGGACCAGCCGCTGCTCCTCTTCCGACAGCCTAGATGCCTTCTTCTCAGCGGGCTCCCCCGACTCGAGCCGCTCCCGCAGCTGCTCCAGCGTGGCAGTGCGGGTGCCAGCCTGCTGTCCTGCCATGCTCACAGGCACAGCCAGGCGATTTGGCACGGGTACTGTGGTCACTGGGACTCCGTCGCCTGTGAAGGATGAGCTAGACCAGTCCCCAGACACAGTCGACCCGAAACCCCATCTCAGCTCAGACCCTGGCAAACTGGTCTCCCTCCCAGCCCCCCACGCACCTTTCCTGAGAGTGGTGGCTGGGGACATCCGAGGGCTACTGGCACTGGTGCCACTGCTGGAGCCAAGCCCCAGGAGGGGGAAACGGATCTTGGGTGGTGAGAGAAGGGCAGGGGTGCTGGGGGCAGCAGTGGCGGTGGTGGAGTAGCCAAAGAGGGAGGAGCTATAGCTGGGCCGCCGGCCCTCGCGCCGGTTGCCGTCGATGGCTGCCTGGAGCTCGGCTGGGGAGCTCAGGGCTTTCTTCTCACATTCGTAGGCATACAGGTACTTCATGTACCTGCAGGGGAAGAAGGCAGGAGAAACATCTCCAACACAGCACCACATGGACATAAGACGGGGCTCACCAAGGAGCTGGGGTCGGGAGGTTGGGGGGGAGGGAGGTTGGTGCCCTTGACTGGGGGCCTCAGTGCCCCAGGTCCCTCTGCCACCTCTACATACTGCTCCAAAGGGCAGTGTGGCTCACATAGGGAGCTAAGTAACATCTTAGCTAACGGTTAGAGGACCCATGTCATGTAGCTCCTTGATCTGGTCACTGGGCCAGGCTGCTCAGATAGGAAAGCTTCTCATCAGGCACCAGGTGAAGCCCCTGCCCTGTCCAAGTCTGACACCTGTTCCAGGACACAGTTTCTCCCCCTGTAAGACCCTTGCCATCTCAGCTTAGCCCCCGGCTTCGGCAGGGCAGCCCCAGCAGATAAAAACTTTGATCTTTTCAACAAGACCACACAGCATGCTACCTGATATGTCAGCTGCTCACTCCCCTGTTCTTCACGAACAACGTCCTAGAACATTCCAAAAGAACAAGCCCCTCTGGCCTATGCGCTCTAGTGCCACACTTGCCTTTACTATTTCTATACCTTCCTCCAGACAGACTCAAATGGTGGTTAAGACAAGGCAGCCATCTGATGGAGCTGGGTGTCAGTTGCCTGGCAAGGCTGGTGCTCTGCCACTTGTGCCACAGCTACACTTCTGGATTTTTGCTGGTTAACTGGAAACTCACAGACTTTTTTTGGCCCAGGCTGGCTTTGAACTTTGATTCTCAGATCTCAGCCTCCTGAGTAGCCAGGATTACAGGTGTGAGCCACCAGTGCCTGACTAGAAACTAGAAAATGGGGATGCAGGATGTGTCTCTTTGCCAGGACTGAGTGAGGCCTAAGTGAAACAAGCACCCGGGGGAGCCAAGGCCTCCTCTTCATGGGCCCTGTGTTTCCACATCTTGGTCCAACACCCAGCGTACTCACTGGGTCCTGAGGGTAAAGGCGGCACTGGTGATGGAGGTGGGCAGGCTCAGGCCCTTGGTGATCTCCCTCCAGATCTTCTTGTTGATGACCTCCACCAGGCCCCCCTTCTCTGTTACCAGCTTATAGAGTGTGTACAAGTCCAGGATCTGCTTGGCCATGATGGGGATCCGGTTGATGGGGGTCCCTGTAGTAGTCCAACGAGAGACAGAGGGCCGTGTCATCAACAGTCTGAGAGAGAAGGCATCACACATGCTCACTTTTTTTAATTTTCACTTTTGTTGTGCATTGTCCCTGAGCTTTTTCACTCAAGGCTGCTGCTGTACCACTTGAGCCACCGTTACACTTACAGCTTTTTGGTGGTTAACTGGAGATAAGACTCTCCTTTCCAGGGCTGGGAAGGTGGCTCAGTGGTAGAGCGCTTGCCTTGCATGCATGAGGCCCTGGGTTCAATTCCTCAGCACCACATAAGCAGAAAAAGCTGGAAGTGGCGCTGTGGCTCAAGTGGTAGAACACTAGCCTTGAGCTGAAGAGCTGAGAGGCAGCGCCCAGGACTAGAGTTCAGGTCCCACGACCAACCAAAAAAAAAAAAAAAAAGACTTTAGCTTCCCAAACTGGCTTTGAACGTGATTGTCAGATCTCAGTCTCACGAGTAAGTGGTGTTACAGTTGAACCACTCGTGCCCAGCTACCTTTAGTTAAGTCAGGAATAGTGCTCATGGATCTACCTCGTGTTATTTGACTCAAACTCCTCAAACCTGAATGCTACCAGACTGTCTTCCAGTTCTTTCTTTTTTTTTTTTTGGTCAGTTGTGGGGCTTGAACTCTGGGCCTGGGAGCTGTCCCCCAGCTCTTCAGCTCAAGGCAAATATTCTATCACTTGAGTTATAGTGCCACTTCCAGTTTTCTGATGGTTTATTGGAGATCAGAGTTGCATGGACTTCCCTGCCCAGGCTGTCTTTGAACGATCCTCAGATCTCAGCCTCCTGAGTAGCTAGGATTATAAGCATGAGCCAATAGCATCCAGCTACCAGTTCTTTTCTTTGGGATGACCAGGGCCCAATTTCTAGAAACTCTCTGGATCTGCTTACTATCCACAAATAGAAGCAGGGCTTGGCCCAGACCAACTTAAGGTGTGTGTAATCTTTCCTTCCTTTTTCTGTTGTTCACAGGGCTTGAACTCAGGGCCTGGGCATTGTCCCTGAGCTTTTTTGTGCAAGCCTATGGCTCTACCACTTTTTTTTTTTTTCGTCGGTACTGGGGCTTGAACTCTAGGCCCTGGGCGCTGTCCTTCAGTTTAAGGCAAGCACTCTACCACTTGAGCCACAGTGCCACTTCTGGTTTTCTGGTGGTTCATTGGAGAGAAGAGTCTCAAGACTTTTCTGCACGGGCTAGCTTTGAACCACGATCTTCAGATCTCAGCCTCATGAGCAGTTACAGGTGTGAGCCACCAGTGCCCAGCTTTGGCTCTACTGCTTTGGGCCATAGCTCCACTTCTGGTTTTCTAATGGTTAACTGGAGATAGGAGTCTCACAGACTTTCCTGCCCAGGCTAGTTTTGGACCATGATCCTTAGATCTCAGCCTCCTGAGTAGCTAGGATGACAGGTGTGAACCACCAGCCCCAGCTGTGATTTGGGTTTTGAGAGCAGTATAATTCCACATTACTTCACTATGAACTGGCAACCTGAGTGCTCCTTCACTGTAAGTGAAGTGCTTTCTGCAGTATGGAGATAGGGCTTCTTGCTCTCCCTCCCCTGTGCCTTGCCATGTCAAAGGCGCTGCTGGACACACAGGTCTCCAGGGGAATGAAAAGCCACTCAACAATTCTCTCCCCACTAATCGTTTGCCCCTCCCCCTGCACTGGCCTCTAAAAGAGGGAGGGTCAGAGCAGCTTCCGCCTCTCAGCCCCAGGGGAAGTGAGAGGAGCCAGAGACTTGATTAGGAAACCTGGCACCGGGCAGGAAGGGCTACTAATGAGCACCAGGGGACGGCAGGGAGGGCGGGCAGGGCTCGTCAGGAGGCGTGATGGATGACTGTCATTTGGCAGCCTCGGGATTAATGATCTGGAGGTCAGAGGGGAGAATTCCGCAGGGAAGGGTCACCGTCCGGGGCAGGGCTGAAGACTTGTTGCCTTTTAATGGAAACTCCTACTGTACGCAGGCTGCCCATTTGATCCTCTCCTCCCTCCTCCCTGACCCGCCCCCACCTCACTAGGACTCTGTTAGCTGCCTGATGGGTTTAGGCCAGCTTGAGCTCTTGTTTCCACTTCTCTCCTAAAGTGATGCCAGTGTTCTCAGCTCAATATCAGCCTTGCGGGGTATTTTTGTTGTTGGCTTTTTTTTTTTTTTT